TAGAAGTGCTCTGGGTTCAAACATTTTATTTAATTACATCAATATGGACCTACTCGCAGTCAGCCAAATCGAGCTCCTTTAAATTTTGGCCGCATGCCGGAAGCATTTGACAAACAAATTGGTCACATATTGTTTGAATTCCAGCAACAGATAACACTTCTAAGTGTTTTAAATTCTTCAATCCAGATATTATTTGCATAGCATCTATTCTTTGGCATTCATTTATGCGCAGCTCCTTCAGAGATGAACACAGCGACTTGGATATAATGTTGATGCAGCTATGTGTCAAAAGAGAGCACTGCCCCAAATCTATTGACTGCAGTATAGGTGCTTCTGCAACAAGTAATCTCAGCCCATCATCTGACATGCGGCATGCACCCCTTAGCGATAAAATACCCAACTTTGGCAACCTATGTGAAGATCGCAGTAAGGTTTTATCCAACACATGATCAAGCAAGCATTGCCCACACAGATCAAGCTGAAGGACCTGGTTGCAAGGCACCAAGGAAAGGAAGAAGGATAAACCCATTGTACAGTGAAGTACTGAAAACTCCTTGTAAAAAATTGCAAACCAATGGTACCACAATAAGATAGCTAAGAGTTCCTAAATTGCTAAACAAGTTCTTAAGCATCTTCAGTTTTCCTTGATATTTGAGCCATTATATGAAAAGTACGAGTATATCTTTGAATTTTCAAACATTGGAGAATTTTTAATACATTGGTTTGATTAATGATACTATCATTATTGTGTTTGGTTCCAAAAAAATATCTTTATTAGGTGTTGGCTTAAATATATGTAAATTTTATACTTAGGCATGGTATAGTGATCAATGAGTGTACATTTGTAAGTAAAGTTTCAATTTGTGGAATTCTCAATATGATGATTTACTTGCATCTGTATTCCATACCCAAACTTGATTATGTTCACTAATCCATGCATGAATGAACATGCTTAAAAGGTACTTTGACCTGTGTTGTACTATACATGTTTTGTTAGGTGTTGCAAATTTTCTAGACATAGTTGAGTATAGTCAGTTTTGAGTGGTATGCAGGTAGTCTTTTGGATACAATCTTGGGCTGCATGCAAACATGGTGACAAGAGAATCTATATGAAAGATACACCTCAAAGAAGATATATACATTGTTTTTGAAGAAATCAGGAGAGGATGTGATTTTTTATATTCAAATTTAGCTTTTATTTTGAGATAGCGGAGTATACATACGTAAACTGCATTATAAAGTTTCATTTTTGGTGCTGAACTTTGGAAATATGACGAGAACTTAAAGTTGCTTTAGAGAAGCACTTCGAAACTAAGGAGTGTTAGATATCTACATGGTTTACATTACTAATGTTGTTTATAAAAAAGTTTTTTTATAATTTGCAATTTATGTTTTTTATATTGCGTATTTTGTTCTTGTATACTCCGTAAAAGACCCTTTAATGGAGTTTGTTGCCAATTACATGTCATGCTGAGTTTATATTCAATGTTAAATTCAAATTTTGATTGTTTAATTTTATTTTATATAGTAAAACAAAATGCTTTCCATGCAATGCACTGGGTACAAATCTAATAAATGTAAAATGAAAAGAAAAAAATGTCAGTATTACCAGCAAGTTTTGTCCATCAAAGTCTCCAAAGGACTTAGAGAAATCATCTTCTGTTAGCCATGAACAGTCCTTAACCCGGATTTCAGTTGGAGAACCTTGCAAGAGGAGGCCAAACAAACGAGAGTTCATCTTCCTGGCATCACAGAGCAAGTCAACAATCTTTCTTCTCAATATGTCAGGGACACAATCAAGTGAAACTAGGGCATAAGCATTTTTCAGAAGCGTTTTCAAAGAAAGATCTTGTAGTGAAGGAACAAGAGGAGCAGAAATATTATCGGACGTATTTTGACGTCCTCTCCAAACAATTAATTGCTGAGCACTCTTTTTCAGACAACGCTCTCTGATTGTCTTCAATGCGTCTGAAAATGGTCCAGGAGAGTTTAGTAGTTGCTCATCAGCTTCTAAAGAAGGTGTCATCTCTGTGTTAACTAAAGAACTCTCGTTAATAATCTCCTCTAGAGGATTGAACCGTGCAAATCGATAAGCACGATCTGTCGCAATTTCACGGTGTCTAACTCTGTCTGCCCTCTGCCTCGGTGCGTTCAATAACCTTGCATTATCAGCAATAACCTGCTCTCTTCTGAACTCACTATTCCTAGCTGAGATCTGATTACTGGGTTGTGCTATCAACATAGGTTTGAACTGAACAGGCATCTTTATGGCGGAATATGCACCAGATTGCTCTGCTCTATGTTTGTGATTTCCCTTCATAAGTGGATCACCATTTCGTCCTAAATTTACAGAGTCAAAGTGAAGTGATAATGCAGGATCAACATCCTGTTCAAATGCAAATTCACACCCCTCGGCAAGGATCTCCATTCCAATTGGCAGGTTGGTTAGGGATAGCCAAGAATCGCCGACTTTTGTTTTCCCCTTTTCTTCTCTGGTATACCTCCGTACCCCACTAGACGTGCCACTATCAGCAAGAGACATGCTTAAATCCAGTTCACCTAACCGTCCAAATTTGACATTCCCAGAACTTCCACAAGCATTTACTCCATCAGAGAGTTTCCTTTTTCCCTTAACTTCTTTTAGAACTATTACATCCTCTTCATCACCATCGTCATCAGATAAAATCTCAACAATTTCCTTAGTCATCTCACCAACCACGGGAGTAATATCAAATCCCTCATCCTCTGCATCCCAAACGGACACGTTAAGATCAAATTCAAACTCTCTTTTCTCATAGCCAACACCCACATTGTTATTTAATTGTTTTACAGTGCTACAAGATGCGTCATTTCCCTTGGAAATATTACCTTTACATCTAACGCTTGATTCTCCAAGACCTACCCCTACCACCCCATCCTCTATCCTCGCCTCTCCTGTCATGTCAAATGCACCACCAAAACTTTTAACTAGCCCCTCAGTAACTCTCTCTTCTTCTAACCCTTCGAGATCTAATTCAATCTCTTCCAACCCCCTGTTTTCATCAGCTAAATTCTCACCAACTTCGCCCAGGTTAAACCTAAATTTCTTAGTCTCTGAGTTTCCATCCGCGCCCAAACTCGACCTTTTCATTCCTTTCCTATCATTCACAGCCTTTTTACAGAATCCATTTTCAGCTAAACACTCCATGTTTATTTGCGGATACAAGCATGTGATATATATATCTTCAGCCAAACAAAATCAAACCCCCATTAACACACCAAAGTTTCAGCTTACATGTAGAGTCGCCATTAAAATGACTCTGCCCGCACAAAATTACTTTATATACACATTCATACATATGGAAAAGGCAAATAGATAAACTCCAAACCAAATTAACTCGAAAACGAATGAAATTAGCACGGTCTGCGCCGGAATTTGTGCGGCGGCGGTGAAGAGGCGGCAGAAAAGGAATGAATGAGGCGGCGAAGCAATCGTCATCATCGTATCTCCTTCTTCATCCCCTTGATAATCCCATTTTCACTCAAAATCTTATGATCATCCGGCCAGGAGGCAAAGACCAGTGAAAAAGTGCGAAGAAACGTGAAGAAGCTCCGGGATGTGGAAAGTGGAAACCACCAACAACCTACCTTCTTAGGCACCCAAAGTATTAAAACCACTCCTGCCTTTTTCTTAATGGTTCACATATCTGAATGGTTTAGCACTTAATGGTTCAGACTGTTTGTTTCAACCTCTTAATAGTTCAGATGTCTGAATGATTAAGAGATTTGCCTCTGAATGGTTAAGTATTATACAGAGTCTGAATGGTTAAGACCTCTTATCTGAATTGATCAGACATTTGCCTCTGAATAGTTAAGCAATATACTAGCTCTTAATGGTTCAGACCTCTTACTGGTTCAGCACTTACCTATTCAGAAGTTGCCAAACAACCCTTTACTCTTTTTTATTTAACTTAATTTTATTATTTATTTTTTTTATTTATTCATTTAAAAATTAAATCATGACTAAATTTAAATACAACTTACAAATCAGGTTAAAATTAACTTTAATCAAATCAAAATTAACTTCAATCAGATCAGATGATTTGAATAAGACCTAATTGTCAATGAACTTTGTAAGTTTACAAATAGGGATGAGAAAAAAATCAAATTCGTATTGTACCATACCAGACCGTATTAATATCGAACCGTTTATTGTATTTTTAAACAAGATTGATTTTTTCTATCACGAACCGAAACCGAACCGATATGAAGCGGGACAGACCGTGATACAAATATCTAAAACCGATTATCACGAACTGAAGCGTTCAAAACTATATACGGAGTATCTCAAATAAGTATCTGTCTACTCCATCTTACCGTATATGGAGTACTTCGTATTGTATTATTTTTTTTTTTTAAATAATCTTTAACTATTATTGTTGTTATTATATTTATTATTACTACTACTCTATTAGCATTATTATTTTTTTTGGAATTCCTTCGGTATTAATAGTCTGATACTGTATGAATTGAAAAAATCTACTATTTTTTTAAAATTTGGTCTTGCTATTTTTTATTCTTTCTATTTATGACCCTTTCAAATTTGAAATCGATACTTTTTTTTTAACAAGTTTGTACTTTTTATACAAAATTATGCTTTTATTTCAATGTGCTTTGTGTAATGCATGTTAATTTTTTTTGGTGCGATTTGAATATTAGTATGGTATTGTACCGTTCTATTTCAAATTAAAATGGTACTGAATGGTTCTGAGATTCATATCGTACCGATGCCGAATCGTTTAAATAAGAGCGATCCATGATAAGTTTTGAGAGTATCACGAGTCGTGCCCACCCCTATTTATATATTCACTCTATCATCTCAATTTAAGTTGTCTGTTACTATTGATAATGAAATGTATTCAATTAAAATTATTTTTAGTTTAACCAATTAAAATTCAGAAATAAAAAGATTATATACTCCGCATTTGAAAACTATATCAATGATTATTCAACACATCAAACTGTAGCATCTTTTGTCGTGAATTATGAAAAAAAATATTTAGTTATGATGTAAATTTAGTAATATTGAGTTTATTTTAAAATATAGTTTTGAAATATCAGATTTTATTTTATAATTAATTATTTTTAACTATATTTAATTTATGGTCAAAGAGTGCCACAATTTAACTTTTTTGGTCAAACTGTGATAATCTTTTAGAGACGGATGAAATAATATGAAAATAATAGAGCAAAGAAAAGTTAAAAATAGACAAATCGAACAAATATGTTTCTGTCAGTTGCTTAGAATTGGTTGGGTAAGTTTAAAAAAAGTTATTTATACATCAAAATTTGTACTCTAAATTGTACACCACAAGTATGTATTTTTATTTTATGTTAGTGTGGTGCTAATATAATGGTTCACACATGCACAAAATGCTAGTACGATATTTTTTTTATGACACTTGCATATCTTTGGTGCATACTTTGAGGTACACTTCTTGATATACCCTTAGCATAATTGGGAAAAAATGTTTAGCTAATGTATTCTTCAAAACGTGTATCATCGATATAAAAAAATATTAAATTGTGAACCCGATCTAGTAAGATTTGGCCTAACACAAAAAGAACCGTGAAAAGAAAATAAGTTAGGCAACTCACTAGTTCATTATGAGTTGAGCTAAGTCATATATGCTCTCCGTTTCAAATGATGTTGTCCGTACTTCATTCACAAAGTCAAATTTCATTCACTTTTTTTGTTATTCATTTTATAAAATAATATAGTTATATCATCTTCTTTATAGGACTTTTGATGTAATTTTTACATATGTAAATTTTATTTTTTAATCTTGCTCTAATTCTTAAACCAAAAGAGACAATTTAAATTGAAATAGAAGACATGAGATAGTGATAACCAATCATTCCATGATAAACATTCGTTCATAACTAATGAGTATAAACTCAATACTGACCATGTCAAACATGCTCAATCTACTCTATGAGAAAGATGATATAGAACAACTTATATCTTACAACCGGCTATACGGGAAGAGCCTTACAGCCGGCAAAAATTAGCAGCAACACACCAGCACTCACAATTGGATATATAACAACATTCGGCGATCGGAAGAGGAAGCGACGAAGAGAAGACGCAGGTAAACGAATGCGGAGAGATTGAGGAATCATGATTAGATGGGGGAAGAAGATGCTGATAGATGATTCACGAAGTCGGGGCAAACCAAAAGACCCAACGAAGATGGAAACAATGGCAGTGGAACCATAGCTGAAACCCTTTGTAATTGATCAAGGTGGGGTTACGATGACTGTGGCAGATGCGATTCAGCTCCCACGGTGGGCTTTTTTAGTATGAGGTGAGAACACTATGTTGCTCTAAAATGAATACTACGTTGCTTTATAATGAGTACTTCATTGATTGAGAATGAACACTATGTTGTTTGAAAATAAACATTACACTGTTCGTAAATAAATACTCCCTCCATCCCAAATTAAATTGTCTTTTTACTATTCACATACTCAAACTATATTAACTTTTTTCCCCTATTTTTGTTAGTTATTTAATAAAATAATATAGTCATGTCACCACTAGTTTTATGGATTTTTTTATATAGTTTTTAATTATGTAACTTTAATTTTTAAATTCTACGAAGTATATCATTTTTCATATAAAATAATTTGAAGATAACTTCAGTCAAACATCGTAAACCGAAACAGACAATTTAAATTGGAACGGAGGGAGTACTTTACCTGTAATGAATAGATGCATGAAAATAAATATTACATTGCTTTAGAATGAGTACTACGTTGATTCAAAACGAACATCATGTTATATCAAAAATGAATATTTGTCTTGTTTGACTTTTTATAATCAACTATATCCAAACTTTGTCCTATAGTTAAATAAAATATACTTATATCGTATCGAGCGTCGGCATCGGGAGGATTCCGCTTGTTCTCGTTGGTCTTATTGCCACTATTGATAACAACCCGTCGCGAAACAACGAAAATTGAGAGATCTGTTTTCATCGTCAAATGATGATCCCATTTTTCAAATATTTTGTAGAGAGAATTAAAAGAAAAAGAATATATTTTAGAAGAATTATGGAGAGAATGAGAATAGGTTATGTGTGTTTGTTGTGTTAAAAATAAAGGTATTTATACTATTGAATTTTTTTTTTTTTAAATAATGCCCAACGGCATTATAGCCGTTTGGGCCACCAACGGCTCTCTCCCTCCCCTTTCTCAGCGTTAAACGTTTAGCACATGCAAGATGACACCCATATAACGCGGCAGGGGGGCGGTGCTTAATGCCCCGCCTACGTTTAACGGCCGATGACGCCCCCAGCGTTACGACCATTACCAGTGGTCTTACACTCCTTATTCTTCTTGTTCTCATAAATCCCCTTGTCGTACCTGCGCCGCCACCGCCGGAGGGCATGAAGGTTTCGTGCACGAGTATGGTGGAGCACGTACTGCAATGCAACTTCAAGAACAGGAAGCTCATTGGGGAAGCCTTGACTCACTCTTCATACCTTGTTTCCCCTTCTTAGTAGCTCCTGGAGTTCCTAGGCAACATGGCTCTTGGCTTGGCAGTCTCCAATTCCTTTTTCGTGGCCTATCTTGCATGCCCTTGACCCCAGCCAGCTCTCTTTCCTCCGCTCCACCACCACCAGCACCGAGAAGCTCGTTCGCGTGGCTGTCTGCAACGGCTAGTCTAAAATTGTTTGAATTTCATTATGGTTTCAGGTCTTCTGAGGCTTACACGAGCCGATTATCGCTGCAGAAGTGCTACAAAACCAACCATAAGCTGTGACAATGGTGTTCAAATATTGTCAAAGGGTTGGAAAAGGAGTTGTTATACGGCATAAAAAGGATGGGGAGAAAAGCATCGCGGGCATATACATTGATGGGGAACAATTGGTGCCATCATCTTCTGAACAAAAAGAAAACGCGAGGCTTCAAGCTGCAAAGGCAGCACTACAGAAGTTGGCTGGAAAAGTTGTTGCCGACATATTCAGCTTTGAGCTTGATGAAACACATGATGATGGGGCAAAGCAGAAGCTCAATGAACTTTGTATAAAAAAATGGCCTAAACCAGTCTATAGATATAAAGAAAACTACCATCTTTGTCTGGTAATAATGTAGTATTATTGTTTCGTAATTGATCTTGTAGTAAGCCTAATGGCAAGTATCAGAGATGGAAATGCCATATGAGCTTTCTTATGATCTATAACTCAATCCATCCATCATCTGAGTATCATCCATATTTTTTTGGGTTTTCGTCTATAGAATCGAGACAGGTGGTTTAGATATCAATCGGGTAAGGACGAAATTGTCATCCCTATAAGGAATGGATGGTATCATCATCACATTGTTGGGCTTATTGTACTAAATCATGTTGAAAACACTCTAGAGTGTGTTACTCTGCACAGCTTACTGTCAAGAGACAATTTGATCCAGCAGAATAACATACAGGTATTTCACCTTGTTTTCCTTTTGTGGATTTCTAAGATTTCGCTAATCTGGTTTTAGAGAAATAAAGTAATGCATTACCTGTACTTTGTTGGCCCGAGAATGCCACCTGAACTGTTCTTGGTAAGGCAAAGGAGAAGTGGGGGCATCCTTGATGATTTTTGAGTTAAACTTTGACACGAGGCCTCTATTGATTATCGAATGGGACAAACCGCCGAGTGATGAGAGTTATTGTTTTTGTATGAAAGTCATATATATTTCGGGTTTGGTAAAACAATAACTAGAAACATAAATAGATGATAAGCCAAAAACATGAGTTACAAAAGAGAACTAAAAGGGAGATTGATAAGTGCCTCTGAAAGATGGTATATGGCCAGGGAGCTACAACGATGGCATTGCAGTGACGGGAGGAGTGAGCTGCAGCCCAGGCCTCGATTCCCAACCCTTTTTATTCCTGTAGGCCTCAACTGCTTTAAGGCGAAGTCTCTCTTGTGAAGCTCCGTGTGCCATCTTCCGTACCTTCATTACACACATAGCATTCAGTGGAGAGTAGGATATCATTGACACAAAACACCTCAACATCTTGCCAAAATGATATTTCTAATACAACTGCACAAGAATAACTTTAAAAAAATGAAATCCAACTAAAAGCTCCACAAAAAAAAGTAAGTGTTGGACTTCATGACAGGTTTTAGCTTAGAAAATTGAGTTTGTTTATTTCTTTTCAGTTCTCCAATTTTATATTTTTGTTTTGGTTTTTTGTTATCTTTTTTCTAGTATGGAAATCATGTTTACGTACACATTTACATTATCACATATGCAGTGTGGGGATGCCTTGAGGTGGCCAACAGAGTTAGAGGTGCTGGTGACAGCAATGGCTGGGAACAACAGTCATGAACGATGGTAGCATGGTCGGAGGTGATGGTTGGCGTGGTGGTCCACATTGTCACTCGCGAAGACTGCCAACAACGGTGGTGGCTGACAACGGCTGTGATTGGAGGTGGATTGCAACAGCCACTGATGCTGCTAGTGGTATTCATTGGCAGTAATGATGTTTAATGGTACTAACAAAATAGTCCTTGGTGGTGTTTACCAATGGCAAGCTTAGCAATGTCAATAGTTGTGAGTGTTAAAGACTTTTCTAGTATTGGCAAGAGATCAGAAGGTGATGATTGTGGTAGCCGGTAGGACTCACCATTGGTGGAGTATATTGGGCTTTGAAAAACTACACCCTTCGTCCCACTATTTTGTCTGTTTTTTACTTTTTTTGTTTGTCACACTATTTTTGTCCACAAAAACAGTTTGGTCATGGTTCACATTTGTTCTAACTTTATTTTACTTTATCTTACTCTTCAACATCAATATCAGTTTTCTAAAGAGTACTTAAAAATAGGTGCGGTTAAAACAGTTTCCAATATGGATTTGGAAAACAGAAAAGAGTGAAGATATTTTATGTTTTCTATTTTCCAGAAACAGTTTGAACCCGGCCCTGACATTTCTGTTTGTTGCTATATGTTTCTTGTGTTTGTGTCCATGCAACATAGCTTATATTTGTAGTTATTAATGAAGTCATATCTACCTTTGGGAGAGCCACCAGCTTGGGAGGAGCATCAACAACTTCCCCAAATTTTATTTGTTCATGCCTAGGGAAGTCAAACACTTGTGTCCCGGTTGGCTTGTTCTTCTTTTTTCTATCTTTCAAGTGCCTGCATAATTCCAAACAATCGCAATTCAAAAAAGGAAACAAAAGTAACTTCACCAATCACAAATAGAGAGTTTGATATCACAATGTGGAAAATAAAAGATATAACACTTGCATTGCAGCTGTCAATGGCTCAATGCACTAACAACTTCTGCTCTCACTAATAAAAATTGAACCCTAATATTAATCATTGTCAAGAAATCTTTACTAGCTTTCCCTATGAAGGGGACAAACAGAAAACAGATTTTCAATTAAGAACGTTAGGATCATACTGTTTCCTGCGTTCCTTTCGTTTTGAACCAGTACCGCCAAATTCCTCAATTGATTCAAATCGAAGGTCATGTACTTTTTTTCTTTTCTTCTTCTTGTTTTTCTTTTCATTGACATCACTGTCTGCAGGCAGATCATCATTAGTTTTCCGTTTGATTCCGGACATGTTACTCGTGCTTTTCTCTTCTAAATGATGCGTCTGTTGACAAGAAGCACATAGACATTAATCAACCAGAACAATTTGATGTCTCAGTTAAAAAATCACAATAAGCACACAATGATACAGAGGAGTCCAGGAGGAAGGTTTTCGAGAAATGGGTGATAAATTGGATGGGAAAATTTTTCCAGACTCCAAGATTATGAAAAATACAAACTTCAATGCACACATGTCAGCCCAAGCAATACAGATGTAGGCATATAGCATGATGGTTACAAATCATAAATCTGAAAATGAACAATGTTTAAAAAGAAAATGAGGATCCGATCGTCTGACATATTCAAATAAGCATTCCTTGTAAGAACATGAGGATTCGTTATATTTAAATGAACATTATTAACAGAAAATGACTAACGTAAAAAACATAAACCATACAAAAAAAAACTTAAATTGAGCATTTTTTAGAAGAATAATGAACATTTGTATAAAAACTTCACAATTAACACTACATCTTGAGTACATCCCGATGCACGACACATATTCTATTCTTTTGGACTTAATTTTAGTTAAGGTTTCAAAATTTGCAAAACCCAGAAACAGACGGATATATAATTGGCAAAAGCACAACATTAAAAGATCATACTTTGAATACCTTTGTACTGTCCTCGCCTCCTTTCACTGTTCTTCTTGGTGGTTTCTTTTCAGCTTCTAAAAAACAGAGAGAGAAAAGGAATTGAAGAAGGGGAAGAAGAAGATGTACAGTTATATATACGGATTACACAAGTTTAACCATGAATTTGGAATCGCAACTAACCTGTGAAAGCCATGAGCTTGCGGAGCTTAGAAGGGAGGGCATCAATGGAGGAAAGGTCCGGTGGGGGAGGGAGCCTGGCGGTCCCTCCATGTGATGCTCTGTAGTTCTTCTCCCTTCTCTTTATTCCTTTGCCTCCCATCTTCTCCCTCCTCCCCTTTCACTCTGTCGAATTGATTTCGCTAAACCCTAATCCAGTCCAGAAGCTCCGAGTTAGACCCGATTCACAGCCGATAGCCCGATACTATCTAATTTTCAATTTTTTATGGGTTGAAAAGCAAAAAAAAATGTGAGAAGCCCCTTTGAGATTTTTTTAGAATATCTTATCAAAATTGTCATTTTATAAAAAACAAAATACCCAATATTTTTTTTAGTGATATCGACTCAATTGAATTTGAGAAGTATCCCAAATCTTGAGAAATGGTCTTCTTTGTCACTCAAGTCAACGAAGAAAATTACTAAGGTAAATTTGAACATACTATAAATATAATATTTGAGACTAAACCATGTTTTATATATTAAAATAGTATTTATAATATTTTTCTACCAAAATAAAACTTTCTACGTATATTGTCAAATAATATTAAAATATAATGTCAAAAACACTGTAAAATAGTTATACTCAACTAGTGTTCACCATGTGCAAACAGCTAAATTTTTTAAACAATTTAAATATAATTCTATGTATTTTAATTTTCTAATATATGAATATTTTTAAACTATGATGTATATATCTTTGTTTTAATAACAATTTTAATTTTAAATTAGATGTAAATGTATTGAAATTCTTATTTTCATATACAAGTGATATGATGTGCATGTGTAACGTGAAAAAGTTTAGACAAAGTTAATAGTCATTGATACATAATTAAAATAATTGATGTTAAATAGACCAATTAGGTAATGATACATAATTAATATAATAGATTAAAGAAATGCATATATGATAAAATTTATATAATGCAGAGTAATTTTCTTAGAGTTTATAAAATAAAAAAATGGTAAACAGTTTGAAAAACTATGCACAATAGAACGTTGTTTTCTAATTAATAAAGTCTCCATTACGTTTTAAACATAATAATAACACAATTATGCATATTTAAAAAAATGTAATAGCAATGAAAAAGATATTTGTGAAGAAGTTACAAAGTGAAGGGTTTATAGAAATTTAATAAAAATAATAGTTATTTAATGTCGAAAAGTGAAAGGTTTCTAAAAATTTAATAAAAAATAATGTTTATATATTTAATGTTAAAAAATGAAAGGTTCTATAAAATTTTAACAAAATTACTGTTACTTAATTCAATCTAAGAAATTGAAGGGTTGAAAAAAATAACTATTATTTAATATAAAATGTAATATGCACCCTAGAAAATTTTATATAAATTAATGGTCCTTGAAATGAAATACTAATGGAATTATTTTAATTACTTAATAATTAAAATAACAAATAATAAGTGACCGAGTTAAGTAATGGCACATCATTAGAAATTGTATATGTTATAAAATCAAATTCTCTTTGTTTGGTTCTAAAAAATAATTTAATATGATTCATTTTTTGAAACATATTATTTAGTTAATAAAAATGCATATTTGATAAATTTATGTAATAGTTTTTGTAGAAGTGATAAAATAAAATAATTTATGGATAACTTAAAAGAATATTCTGGTGAGAATATTCTTACTGTGAGAATATGAGAATGGTGCATTTTCAACCGTCGTGATGTATTTTACACTTCTAGTGCATTTTTGAAAATTTCAATTTATTTACCAAATTGCCACCATAGTTTTTCAATTTTCTTGTTTTTTATTACCCTTAAATCTTCAACATTTCTTTCACCAAAGGCTCAAAATTATGATTGCGACTCAAGAAATAATTTTTATATATTCTAACACGCCCCCAAATATTTAAGAAAATTTATTAAGATTTTAAATGACTAAAAAACTTGGGAGAAATGAATATTGTAACGTCATAAAGTCCAATAAAAGTGTTGGGATAAATGAATATTGTAACACATCAAGCAATATGTTTCAAGACCAAGGCAACACTTGAAAGCCCAAGACAGCAAGCTGCCTTTGATGAGCCTTCCCTCTTAAAAAATAGAGTTAATATCGTATGGGCCAATGACCCATATATCAGATATTAAACTGATAAGAACAGATACTACACTTGATCTTAGCCAAAAGGCCGAGAAAGGTATGCCTTAATTTAATATCAACTCTCGCGTTTTATTAGCTCTCAGATGATATCACGTTTTTACGAAACTGGTGTGGGACAAAAGAAAGTACAATAGCATTCTTTTTCATTACCCCTGCTGCATCTCGCCTCTCTTTTGGCACCGGTAGAAAAACATTGCCCCTCTTTAATACTCCCGAATTTAATTTCCAAGTCTAAATTGATATGTGAATGGGTTTAAAAATGAAAATTTCTAAGTCCCTTATCATATACTCTCCCCATCTCAAAAATTCCTTCCCCTTTCATAAAAATGGTATTTCACAATCTACTTCTCATTTCTATTAAAAAACCATTTTTACCTCTTACTTTTTCATATCCTATCTATCACATCATACCGTTTTTTAAAATATAAAATATTTAATTAAATATAAATTATGTATTCACGTGTATCCACTCTTTGATTTCTTTTTAATCTGTTGGAAATCAATCTTGATATTTGTATGGATTTGTTTCTTGCCAATATGTAGAAGAACTAATTTGTATGACTATACTCTATTAGTCTTTTTAATGCTTCACGTTGCTTTTAAGTTTCTTATGTCCACAACATTTAACCCACCGTTGGCTCTATATAAAGCTTCGAGCCCATAGTCTTTGTCATCCCCAACATGTGATTCAACGCCGGATTTCCCTGATCCATTTGTGTCATCAACCGTCCGAACAATCAGAGCTGGTAAAGTGGTGGTGGTTTCCACCAAGTGGAAAAGTGTATATTTAGCCATCACTAGAGTCTTCTAAAAAAATATAACCATCTTAAATCATGTAATGGAGCAAATCAGGTCTTGAACTTTTTAATAAAATTCTCTTAATCATCAATTAAGCCACCATGCATGCACTAATTAAGGCCGCATTCCGTTTGTCTGATCTGATCTGATTTTTTGAAGTTCTAATCTAATCTAATTGGATCTGATCTCATCTAGTTTGATCTGATTGGGTCTGATTTGATATGAACGTGATTAAAATTAAAAATTAAAATTTTTATTATAATAGTTATAATAATAATAATACTAACAATAGTAACAAGGCAGAATCTGATGAAGTTCCAGAGAAACAGGAGGAAACAGGTCGTAAGTGCTTACTCGGCAGCCTGTTATACCATTTGGAGAGCAAGAAATAAAAAGCTACATTCAAGAAGCACGCCACAGCGGGAGAGTATGATGCAATGGTTACAAACTACCATTGCTACATACTCGGAGAAAGGGAAGAGGAAGAAGATAAAACGATGAGTAGATAGTTGGCCTAGAGTGTGATGCAATAGTTTTAAATGTTTGGTTTTCATTTGTAAACTGGTTTGGAGGTGGATGAATGAAGTATGTGCATTGGTTCAATAATAACTATAATAATAATAATACTAATAATAATAGGAATCGTAATAATAAAAGAAATAATAATAATACTCCGTAATAGAAATATTAATAATAGTAATAGTAATATAAGTAACAATGATAATAAAAATAGTAATAGTAATCCTAACAGTAGTAATGGTAATAATAATATTAGTCGTAGTAATAATAATAATAATAGTCATAGTTATAATAAAAATAGTAATTATAATTATAGTCATAATAAGAATAGTAGTAGTAATATTAATAATAGTAATATTAATAATATTAATAATAATAATAGTAATAATTATAATATTAATAATAAATATAATAATAATAATAGTAATAGTAATAATAATAATCATAATAATAGTAACAATAATATTATTATTAATATTAATAGTAATAATAATAACAATAGTAATAATAATTATAATCATAATATTAATAATAAAACTAATAATAGTGGTAATAATATTAATAGTAATAGTAATAATTATAATAATAATAAAAATAATTTTGTTTAAATTTGGTCTAATCTGATATGGTCTGATATTATTTTAATAAGTATAAGTAATAAGCAGAAAAAATAAGTTGAACGGAACGCTACATAAACCAATCTGGTGCGAATGATCAGCGAATGGGATCCCATAAAACAGGAAATTCTCACATACCTTGTCTAACCACTCCAAGAGCACTAATGAGATTCCTTACAACGTCCATCATGTTTGTCTTAAAAATTTGTAATCCCAAGGGAATCTGACGTAGCACAATTCGGAGACTCCAAATCAAGTCATGTACTAAGCAAGAAATTTCTACATCAAACTCGCATAAGGCATAATAACCTATTTTTTCATTCAACGATATATGTTGATGGGTGATTTTTTTTTAATACTAAGAAAAATTTGCACTAAATAGGACTAAAACTTGTTACCTACGTCTCAGAATATATGTCCAGTTTGACTTTTTCAAGTCAAACTAGACGAACCTTTGAACCTTAATTGAGTAAAAAAAGTTATAATGTATATTAGTATAAAAATGATTTTTATATATTTCACTTGTTTAGAACTTTCAAAAATTTATTCCATTGTATTAATTTGCAATATAAATTAAGAGTAATTGATGATTAAAGTGTCCACTTTGACTCGAAAAAGTCAAACTGAACGAATACTCTGGCACGGAGGAAGTAAGTCATTTTTCAATGTATGATTTAAATTTTTGTATTTCCTAAATCGTACTTAATAATGTCTAATAGGAGAAATAATATTCACTGATGGTGGACATTACTAGAAAAATGACTAATGAATAATGACGAATGATCTTACATTGATAAATAAAAGCATATATATGGTTTTATATTAAAAAAATCATTATATTTTAGTCATATTTAGGTAAATTTCTCTAATACTAATTCATATTATTGTGATGCAATAATCACATCCACATGAATATCAATTCAAATCTGATCAATTATATTAACAAGCCCTAATTTAAGGATATTTTTATGAATATGCTTATTAAAAGCGTTTCATAATAATAATAACACGTAGCATAGTACAAAAAAATATTTAGCCCAATTTTTTTGATATTTCATTTTAATTATTTCCTAGAACGTAAAAATCGTAGCACCAATATAATTTCACAACTTTTTATATGTTATTTCATCAAAATTTCGAATGAGTTATGGGAACTTTTTTCCCTCAAAATGGAACTTTTTTTTGACAAATCAATACAACTTTCTGTATTAAACTTTTGAAGAATGAAGTTTAATATGCTCCATTTGTTTTGATTTTTTTGTCTCTTTTTTGTTTTTTCTACATCACACTTTTTATGTTCAAGTAGTATATATATAAATATGTTACACTCATTTTTATTTTTATTTTTAGACTCTTTAACATCAATATCAATAATAAAAACTTTCATTTTTAATTTTGTATGCCCCTTACCCATCTTCAAAAAATGGTGTATTAAGGAAGTAATACTATTATTAATCGTTATTAATAGGAAAAGGTGATACTAAGAATTATTATTTCAATCATCCGTCAACTTTTTATACTTTAAATTTCTTCGGATATTTTTTCCAGAATGGGGCACTCCAATACGAGTTATACATTATATGATTTAATTATTATTTAATATTATATGATTTGATTATTATTTATTCACAAATAATTACAACATCAAAAAGAAAACTAGCTTCGCTCCGAGAAGAAAATATATTTAGAAGGAGGGGTGGGCCGGGCCAAGGCAGTACTGCAAGACCAAGGCAACTCATGAAAGCCCAAGACAGCAAGCTGTCTTTGATGGGCTTTCACCCTTAAAAAATAAAGTTAATATCGTATGAGCCTATGGCCCACATATCAGATATTAAACTGATAAGAACAGATACTACACTTGATCTTAGCCAAAAGGCCGAGAAAGGTATGCCTTAGTATCAAGTCGGCTCTCGCATTTTATTAGCTCTTAGAGGATATCACTCTTTTCACGAAACCGGTGTGGGACGAAAGAAAATATACTAGCCTTCTTTTTCATTACCAACTACATGCTGGAGCTTCTCTTAATATACCCCTTTATTTAATTTCTAAGTCTAATGGGTTTGAACATGAATTAAATTTGAACAATATTCCTCGAATTTTTAGTATTTTTATAAAATATATTTTATCTACCCTAAAATGATAAGAGCTTATTGTGTTGCCTCTGGGCTTTTTTTTGTTTTTTCTCTGTCTTCTTTCATATACCCTAAAATAAATTTTATCTTCTCTAAAATAATAAGAACTTATTGGCATGGGGACATGGAACTAATTTTTCTTTCAAAATCAAACAAAAATATTTCCCCCAACCAAACATATCCTATGTGTCGCAAATGAATTTTATATTTTTCCATTATTCTTTATTTTTTTAAAATATGTAGTATACAATGTTTTTTTGTTAAAGTATACAATGTTTTTTTAAATAAAAATTATATATTCAAGTGTATCCACTTTTGGATTTCTTTTCAATCTATTGGAAATCAATCATGATACTTGAAGACACTTAAAGTTTTTTCCTATCCCGATACGTTTAACGTATCACACTCAAAATTACTATTCCACTAATCTTTTTAAATAGTGAATTGTGACATTCTTTTTGGGACGAAGGAGTATAATAGTTGAGCAAAATTATTCTCAAATCTTTAAATATAACTATAAGGGCATAACCAAATAACTAAAATCAATATATTTATATAACACATAAAAATGCTACTCCCTCTGTTCCTCACTAAACTTCCCCTTTCATTTTTTCTTTATCCCCAAATAAACTTCTCTTTTTCCTTAAAAAACCTCTTTTACCCCTTACTTTTTCATACCCTACATATCACATCATAACTTTTCACTAATAATCTAGATATCACATTTTACTTTTACACATCACATCAAGGATATTTTTGGAAAGTCAACACAAAAATATCTCTCCCTTAAATCCTCAAAAAGTCAAAAAGGAAAGTTTATTTAGGGACGGAGGGAGTATAAAACACGAGTTGTTACTAATTTTCATAACAAATGAGTATAGTAAATATGTGAGATATGAATTAGTAACGCTGCACATATAGGGCATGTTTAGGAATAACGTTAGCGATTAGCGTTAGAGTTTTGGATAAAATGTTAACGGTGTAGACTACTTTAAAAACGCTAACGCTAAACGTTGCCCGTAAATAGCATTTTCAAAACGCCTATGCTAAACTCTAACGTTATTCCCAAACATGCCCATAGTAAAATAAAACAAGAGTTATCAAGCGTGGCTCAACTTATATTCCATCACAAGATTGATTTCTTCCGAAGCAAGTTAGTCGGAAAGATGATTGAGAGTAGTATCACTGTTTTGTAGATGAATAGTTTGTCTGAAAGAAGAGGACTTAACAGTGACACCACGAGAAACATCATTGACAACGAGTCTGTTTGGGAATAGTGTTAGCAATTAGCGTTAGCGTTTTGAAAAGGCTATCTACGACAGTGTTTAGTGTATGTTAGCGTTTTCAAAGTAATCTGCACCGTTAAAATTTTATCAAAAACGCTAACACTAATCTCTAACGCTATTCTTAAACAGGCACAACATCATGCTATGGGCGGTATCTGGTAATTTGTTTCTAAAATAACAGAACCTGGAACTATTTTTTTCAGAAACGGTACAACGAATTATATTTCTAATGATTCATTACCTTTTTTTTCTGAAACCAAACTCGAAAAGTTGTGAGCCGTTGTACTTTTATTAAACTTCACTTTACACTTAATACATTTGGTCGAAATTATTCTCAAATCTTTTAATATGAATATTAACTAAAATCAATATATGTATATAATACTTCAAAAAATGCTATAGAACACAAGTTGTCTAGTACTATTTATCATATAGGTTTCAAGAAATCAATTCAATCAAAAGTTTAAACTTGTAGTTGTGCCCCAAGAAATTTTTTTATATATATTCTAACACGCCCCCAAATATTTAAGAAAATTTATTATGATTTTTAATGACTAAAAAAACTTGTGAGAAATGAATATTGTAACGTCACAGAATTCAATGAAAGTGTTGAAAAATAAAAAAGATGTGGTTAGAATTTGTTAAGAGGGGGTCAAAGTTTTCTTAACTGCATGTTCTTTCTTTCAAAAGGAAAAGTTTTTTTCTAACTGATAAAAAAGTGTAGAAAGATTTTTGACAAAATACGCGGGACATTTTTTAATAAAAAATGAACAAAATAAACTACTAAGAGTCCCACACTATAATTAATGTTCGTCCAAAGAAAGATTTACCACTTTCATTTTTTGCGACCCATATATTCTCTTCTCTGCTTCACCTTTAATTCCAAGAACTTAAATACGTCAAAAAGAAAAAGGTTTCACTCAAAGAAAAATTGAATATGAGATTTGGTGGGGTGCGCCGGGCCAAGGCAGTAGTGCAAGACCAAGGCAATGCTTGAAAGCCCAAGACAGCAAGCTGACTCTGATGGGCTTTCCCCCTTAAAAAATAGAGTTAATATCGAGTGGGCCAATGGCTCACATATCAGATATTAAACTGATAAGAACAGATACTACACTTGATCTTAGCCAAAAGGCCGAGAAAGGTATGCTTTAACAATAATCAGTTCTCGCTTTTTATTAGCTTTTAGTGGATATCACTCTGTTTACGAAACCGGTGTGGGACGAAAGAAAGTAGCATTCTTTTTCATTACCCTCCCGTAATATACTACCCCCTGTATTTAATTTCTAAGTCTAAATTTGTATGTGAATGGGTTTGAAAATGAATTAAATTTGAACAAGATTATATGTCGCTTATTACTTTGTTTGGTAACAACGTTTTTGATTAGCGTTAGTGTTTTGGATAAAATTTTAACGGTGCAGATTAATTCTGAAAACGCTAACGCTAAAGGCTACCGTCGGATAGCTTTTTCAAAACGCTAACGCTAATCTCTGACGCTGATGCCAAACAAGGCCTTATCATATAAGAGCTTATTGCGTTGGCTCTCGGCTTTTTTCCGTTTGTTCTCGGTCTTCTTTTATCTACCCTAAAATATATTTTATTCGTAGTATACCCTAAAATATATTTTATCTTCCCTAAAATAATAAGAGCTTATTGGCGTGGGTCTATGGAAATATGTCCCCCCAACCAAACATACCCTATGTGTCTCAAACAAATTTTATCTTTTTCCATTATTATGTATTTTTTTAAATATGTAGTATACAATGTTCTTTTGTTAAAGTATAACATGTTCTTTTTAAATAAAAATTATATATTCACGTGTATCGAGTCTATCGACTTTTTGATTTCTAATCGAGTTAAGTGCACCGTTTATCCTCGTACTCTTTAGAAATTGTATGCTTTACCCCTGAACTTTAAAAAATGCACCGATTACCCTCGAACTCTTCGAAAATTGCACGATTTACCCCTGCACACTAAAAAATGCACCAAATACCCTTGAACAAATTAAAACATTGCATCGTTGGTCCTAAACTATTAGATAGGGAGTGTGTTGCTTCCACGCACAAGAATTGCGAATATGATTCATCTGGTCCTTGTGAATTTTCCAAAGTATCTTTACCCAAAATGGTCATCTTTATTTAAATGTTCAGGAGTAAACAGTACAAATTTTGAAGAGTTCAATGGTATTCGGTGCAATTTTTATTATTCAGGGATAAACCGTGCAATTTCTGAACAATTCAGGTGTATTTGGTGCACTTTTTAATGTTCGGGGGTAAACCATGCAATTTTCAAAGAATTCGGGGGTAAACGGTGCACTTAACTCATTTCTAATCTGTTGGAAATTCTATACTTGTAAGGATTTCTTTGTTGCCAATAGGTGGAAGAACTTATTTGTATGACTATACTCTATTAGTCTTTTTTAATGCTTAGCTTCATGTTGATTTTGAGCTAATTTGAATTTGGTGAATTCATAAATTAAAAAGAATTAGAATACATACGGAGTATTTCTTTATCTTTCTATAATATACTCCCTCCATCCCAAAAAGATTTACGCCTTTCAGAAAAATTGTGTCCCACAATCTCCTACTCATTTATATTAAAAAACCACTTTTACCCCTTACTTTTTCAAACCCTACCTATCAGATCATACCTTTTTCCTAATAATCTACACATCACATCCTACTTTTACCCATCATATCAAGGGTATTTTTGGAAAGTCAACACAAAATTATCCCTCCCTTAATTTCAACTTTAGTCAAAACGTGTAAATCTTTTTGGGACGGAGGGATTATAAGGGTTAGGTACCCCTTAATATTATGCATCTTTTCCATCAAAAAAATATGTACATTTAGCTTTAAAAGTTGTACCATGTAATTAATACTCCACCCAACCCCTACCGTCGTTAGTTTTGGTTAATTTTACTTCCTCCTAGACAAAGTTAAACATAATTTTCAAGTATCAATTAATAAACTCATGACATTAAATTAGAAGATGAAATTTGCATGGAATAGAACTATAACATAAGTCATTTTTCAATGTAGGACCTAAACTTTTTTACTCTCTAAATAGGGCTTAATAATGATTAGTGAGAAGTATAATGTCCAAGTGATCTTGAACATTTAGTTGAATAATGACTAATAGATAATGACCAATAGTCCAGAAATAAAAACATATGGTCCTATATTGAGAAAATCATTATGTTTGAGTTCTATTTAGAGATATATACGGAGTATATTCTAACTATTAAAATTAATAGAACTTTATCTGAAATTCAACCAGCACCCTAGATATGGATTTCAACTCGGACATTATGACGAAAATAAAATTAATATTTTTTAGAGTAGAACTCAGCATAGCTTTTGCATAAACAAGAAATTCACAAATTCATTAAAATCAAACCGGGATGCACGACTATAAAAAGAAAATATGAACTTCTATTTAGAAAAATTTTTACTAGAGTAACGATAGAAGATCCGATATACTTTATACACTTTCATTAAGAGTATTTTAATAAATTTTACCTTATGAAACATATACGACCCAATATGCACATCAATCAATTTGAGGAGATCTATGCCTGACGGAAAGATTAACAAAAAGTGTAACAAATGTGGGACATTTAATTTGATAAAAAAATTATACTAAAGTCACAAACAAAAAACTAGAAAATGTGAGCTTCTCTCTTGGCTTAAATGGTAGGAAGCTCACTTCTTATGATTCATGAAGAGGTGCACTCAGGTTCGTGCCCTAACGGAAGCAGAGGCATTTGGTTTTTCGTGCGTCATTAGATTGATAAAATAGTTGATAGATATTATATTGTAATCGAGTCAATAACACTAGAAAACAAGCATATGTACACATGTTTTAGTGAGTTATGAAATACTCTGCAATAAGTTTGTGCAGTGTGTAAATTATTGTGTAACTTTAACCCTTTTCTTCTATTAGTTCTATCAATAAGGGCTAATATAATTAGTTTATCTTAAAATAGACTAATTATTTATATAATTATATTAAATTTACTCGGTATATTATAGTACTCGGTAACTAAAAATTTTGATGAAACATTTGCATTGTCCAGTCCAAAACCGTATACCAGTAGCTCCCTTTTCACACTGCACTGCCTTTCCTCTTCTCTCTCTCCGAATCGTGTTTATGTCTTGTTTGATTATCCTATGAAAATCGTCTTCTCCAACCGTTTCCCCTCTTTGTATTGGTAATCGCAGGTTCTTTTTTTTTTTTTTTGAGTGGCTCGCCACCTGATCGATGAAATGCCCCAGAGGCGTTGAATCACAATTACAATGGGGGTATGAATTGTTTAGGTCTTCCATGGCTTTGAGAGGCGTGAGGAATAGGCACTGGGGATTGCCAGTTTTATCAGTCATCAGGCACAAAGGCTTTGTGAGATTGAATTCGGGTTCGAGCCACTGCTCTGAGGAATCTAAGGGAGAATCTCCTACTTCTGAATGGTATGGCCATGCCTTCTCCAAGCTGTCAAGTTTGTCCAGCTTACTGAAGAATGTGGATTTGGTTAATGGAAGGCTTGTCAATGTCACCGATAACTCGAGAGTTCAAGATGACATTTTGCTCGAAACCATGACCCATTTCAAGTCTCTAGCTAGAGACTTCATTGGAGGTCCTTTGGTTCAAGACTCCATGAGGAAGAATATGGTGAAGATGGATTTCGGGAGCAGCAATCCAGGAGGCAACCGTCTTCCTTGCTTTAACAAAGCCAGCGAGAGGGAACCGATGACTGTGAATTCCCTTACAAAGGTTTCCAGTTTCTTGAATGTTACTGCTCAACAGAGGAAGGTAGTCAGGGCAACGGTCTGCCCACGGGTAACCGAACATCAGGTTTGGACGGGCGCGCTTGAATTGATACTGGGTGAACTGAAATCCGAGATAGAGCATTTGGAATCTAGGTTCCCAAGTAAAGAAGTAAAAATGGGAAAGCAAATAGTCGCGGGCTGTCTCAAGGTTTTGGGCATTGCAGTTTCTTACAACCCGGATTCCAGTTCGTGGATGCGAGTTGCACCAGCAAAAGGCAAAGTTTCACCACCACCTACTCCTCACAAATGGGAGGACATTCTTGAAATGGTCATCGATGTTGTCGACTGCTTGAGAGAAGTGACAGAGTTGTCGTTAGAGGTTAAGAAGGCAGAGGTCATGAAAGAGGGTCTGTACCAGATAAGGGAAATCCGGATAGACAAAAACATTGGGTACAGGGAGAATTGCCATCAAGAAAGCCTGGTGAAGAAGATATTAACCAAGAGATTGGGCCACTCGTCTCCGTGTTTATTTACACTTCTCACGTACTATCTCTACGGCAGCATCAGAGATATTGAAGTGGATGTTCGCGGCGGGGTTTGTGCCATTGGTCGCGGGGATAGGTTCCGCTTGTGCATGGGAAAGATATTGACATCAGATGAAGAGGAGATGGTATGGAGAGGGGTGAAGCAGCTGGATAGGGCCATGGGGTTGTTTAAGTTCATTTGGGAAACAGCAGGAATGAAAGGAGATCTTGTACTCCAAGGCCATCTATGGTGCATTGGCACCCATAGTAGATCACTCACCTATAGAGGGAATACATTCTGCTTGCACGTGATCGATCGTTATCATTAAGATTTTCTTCTACGAAGAGCATTCCAAGCGCTTTTGAGCTGTGGATCTTTTAGAAATAGTATCTCCATTTCTAAGTAGAGTAAGGTCTGCATACACTCACCCTCCTCTCCAGACCCTACTTGTGTGAGATTTTACTAGGTTTGTTGACAAAAACGTTCAAATGGATCATTCTTCCAAGTTTTTTTTGTGCATGAAAGAGTTGGAAATGAAGAACATATATCTGCTCTTATTGAATCTTTTTTTAACTCTTTTTGTTTATTTTGTCTTTGCTGAAACTCAGCCCGACACATCGTAACAACACAAGAAAGACATATTCACTCCCAAGAAATTTTTACCTTAAACTCTCCATGAGGCTTTAACTGTCACACAAATGTAGCATATACTATCATCTGTCTAGAACTAAAAAAAATATTTAAAAATTTGATCATGTCTATAGTTATTGAGATTTTAATTTTGGCACTCAATAGGGTACTATTATATGGGATCACATCTATCTTTGTACAAACAAATATCAATGAGAGAAAACTGCATCTTTTGTTCAAATAACACGCGCTTCCAAAGAGTACTCACTATCTGGACAACTTTTGATAATCAACTAAATAAAAATTTAGTTCAGAATGACTCAAGTGATATTAAAATCCAGTGTCCCCTGATGACACTGGACCTTTACGTTGTTCCATTCAAAAAATTTATTGTTCTTATCCCCTAAATCTTAACTTAACCCCACATCCCTTGGATTGCCGATTGGTTACAATTTGAAAAATTCGATGTATCAAAACCATTAATTTTGTGAACGGACCATGACTCCGCGAGTGCCCAATGGCATAGGAGAACTCTAGTGTCCCTAGAAATTCCCCGCTCAAATTAGATATTAATATAAAATTAATATTCTTACCCCTTTCATTTGAAAATGTTTGTCCAACTATAACATTTTTGAATCATTAGAAATCAATCTTTAACCTATAATTAAATCAAAATTATATATAATGTTCATTCTATAAACTAGTATTATGAATAAATAATCGTTGGGGTTTTAGTGATACCGGAATACGATGACACTCTGGTGTCACTGTCATTTTGGGGCATTTCCGGTACTCCGTTCGTAAAATTGATAATTCCTAACCCCCTAAACCCCACGCCCTACCCCGCCCCTGCACCCCTACCCCAACCCCACCGTAAGCCGCCCCCACACAATGTGTGGCTATTATGCCATGTATAATAGCCACACATTTTGTGGGAGGCTTACAGCTGGGTTGGGGTGTATGGGCGGGGTAAGGTGAGGGTTTAGAAGGGTAGGAACTATCACTTTTACGAATAGAACACCAAAAATGCTCCAAAATAACAGTGGCACCACTAGTGTCACCAAAGGTGAGTGTCACTAAAACCCCACCGATAAATAATAATAAAAATATATAAACTGTTGTTTAATGGGTCTTTTATTCAAAAGAACCCTCCAAAAATGAGTGTATGCCACTGATTGCAAAACGCACACGGTATTCTTTAGTAAAAGGCGAAAGAATAGTTTGATCTGTGCTTATTGTGTGGCTCCATGAATTTGTTAAGGGCCGAAGTGCTATAAATATAAAGGCAAACAACGAAGAGTATTTCTCACGCGTTCGGTGTGGGATTCTAAGTTCCCTATAGTGGCTGCCGGCCATGAGAGTCGTGAAAAATCATATACACGGGACCATGACAAGTACTCAATCATGTTTACTATAATGTCCTATTTTGCACTAAGTGTGTGTTTTTGTGCCATGTTTATTTATTATTTTAGTATATTTTTGAACCAAAACTTATAATGCTCTTTTTGTTCTCTAAGAGAATGAAAGGAAAAATTAGCTTAATCCAAAAAAGAAAATGAGAAGTTAGAAGTTAAAAAAAGGGACATATTGAGTATATAGCAAATAAACATGACATAGACATGTACACTAGTGCAAAATCTTTAAAAAAATATAAGAGAACAAGAGATAATATGACTAAATTATTTTATTAAATAATTACGAAAATATGTACACAAAACAGAGGTAACATGACTAAATTATTTTATTAAATAATTACGAAAAATTTGTTTTGAGATGAAAATAGTACGAATATTACATTAAAAGAGGAAACTTGGATTCGACTAAGCAGCTCCACAACCTCATGTGCGAGAAAACCAAATGTTTCAAATGCAAATGGTATAAACATGTGTTTGTTGTCAAGGCACGCTATCTCATGTTTGGCCACTTTGCATAAAGCGGCTTTTAACGTAGCCTGACCCACATTGAAAACAGTCCCAAAACACCAATCCTCAAGACTACAAGAGAAACCCTATTAAATCAACGTGTTTCTCTCCCATCCCATACACAGACAAAAATGTTACTTGGTCTGAGTGTGGATCTTCCTTCTAACGGGTCAGTCAAGAATTTCACATATGCTTCTTTCTTAATAGAAATCTCGAGTAGTCCACATGCTGGAATATGTTAGAGAACATCTCTGACCAAATCATATCGGTACTTAAATCTAGGTAGCTCTCTACAATGTATCAATGCTCTCCAAAGAGATCCAAACACGTCTTGCGACAAATAGAACATCTCATCAACTAAAAATAAGGGAATCATGAGTCCATACTTAGAAACGATACTCCACCGGTGACATATGTTGTCCTATCCCATTTATAGGGATGGCAAGAAAATCTTCGCCATGTGGGTAATCATAGACATTCAAAAAAAACTTTTTGCTTAACGGTCATGTCAAAGTGCACTTTCATAAACAATTGGATTGAATTACTCATCTAATTGGATTAAGAAAATATTTGAAATAAAATTTGTTGGGCTCTTCCAAAGGAAAAAGACCCTCCAAAAATGAGTGTATGCCACTAATTGCAACAAGCACACGGTATTCTTTAGTAAAAGGCGAAAGAATAGTTCGCTTTGTACTTATTGCGTGGCTGCATGACTTCCTTGAGAGTTGAGGTGCGATTTATATTATGACCTGTTGTGGTTACTTTTTCCTCTGTTTCCGGTGTGGGAAGAACTCCAATTTCTTCACTTCTCGATTAAAATCCTTAGAGGAGCCCAATATTTGGAGCTGTTTTTTTGTCAAGACAAAAAACATTATAGAGTTCTATTATTCCATCAATCCATTCTTTGGGATGCTCACATTCCTTTACACTATAAAATTGAAGACCATCTTCATAAGCAAGCATCCTTTTTATTTTTTTTTCCTTTTTTGTGATATAATGTCAAACAAGTGTAATCTCTTATAAGTAACAATGTCTAGCAATATTATAATGGGAAATGAAATAGGTTTCCAATAAGGTAAGGGAAAGATCTTGAAGAGGGCAGAGTACATTGACGAATGAACTCTTCCTGAAAACAGGCATTTCAACCGGCATGATATATACATTGGCTAAATTACATTGTTGGTCCTTTAAGTCAATGCGTTATACACGGTTAGTCACTCCAAAAATTCTATGAGTAGGCTTTTAAGTCATGTTAGTGGTACACGGTTAGTTCTTTTTTTAACTTTGTTGTTAATTCCTATTTTTTGTTTTCCATTTTAAACACATATAGCTTCTTCATTATTGTAAGATAATATAATTGGGACATATTGCTAAATGAATAAGAGATGAATACAAGACAATGTATAAATGAAGGAGTATATCCTAGAATCCTTCATATTAATGGCTAATAATATAAGTTAATATTATATGATACTTCGTAATAACTCTAACTATAATAGGTAAAAGTCATGACTATAATGTAATCCTTTCGTTTCTTAAAACACTTCCTCTTTCGTTTTTTTTGTTTTCTCCAAAACACTTTCACTTTCTAATAAAAAACCACTTTTATCCATATTTTATATTATACTACCTATCGTATCATACTTTTTCACCAATAATCTATCCATTGCATCTTATTTTTATCTATCACTTCAAGAACAAAATTAAAAAGTAAACCATAAATATACACTATTTATTCTTTCTAAAAGTAAAAATAGGATCCGTTTTATGAAACAGATGGAGTATAATACTAAATATTTTAAATAATTAATATATTTAACATGCTCTCAACATTCTGGAAGGTGAAGATTGAATGTTAACTCTAAATTGAATCGGGACCAGAATCGTAATCAAAAGCTAAAAGCATATCTTTGCCTAAAGCATACTGAATGCATGCAGACCAGATGAAAGATTGTCGGCAAAGAGATGTGCCGGCATTGAGGAGAATGGGAGAAGAGCCGATGTGGATAGACTCCTGCTGCTAACGCCGACGGAGAGAGGAGGCTGGCGTGTGCTAAAGTTATGCATGAATGGCGTGACTAATTTAGAGAAGAAGCAGAAAGACTGAGGGATTGCCGACGATATGCCTATTGACCGAAGATCTGCCGACTAAACTTGTTCAGCTAACAATATGATCTGAAATCAAGAAGCAATGGTGATGGATCCAGAGATGGACGGAAGATCATGGCGGATGGTTATTGGATGTGAAGACTCCTGGCATGGGTTGAGTCAAATTTAAATCGCCTATTTTACTTTACGACATTTGACTGAAATATATATTTTTCAAATCATTTTATACAAAAAACAGTGTAGAATTAAAAAAATAAAAAGGACATATTTATGACCGGAGACAGATGTTGCTTACTGTTCCCTCGTGACCTGGAAAACGGTGGGAGGACATTGATTGCATGGCGGTGACCTCACAACCTAGGTTTCCACACATCGACGATTCGGAAAGAGATCTGGGCGAGGTCAACGACCATCAAAAAATAGATCTTGGCGAGAGCATGTTATATTTTAGTGTAATTGGAAAAACTATGACCAATGGTATCCTAATAATCAACAAAGAAGTTTGGTGGTGCGAAGTGCACGTTTCATTGAATTTGTTACGATAAAAATCCTGTTACATCGGGGATTCCAAGGGGGCAGCGCCCCCTTGGCGGGGGTTAGGGGGCAGCGCCCCCGAGCAAGGTTCAAGGGGCGGCAGCCATAGTTAGTAATATACGGCTAACGTATAATACGTCAATACGTACGTTCGTGTATAATACGTTAGTATTTTATAAAATACGGCTTACTATGCATATTAAACGTTTGGCATACGGATACGGATACGTATGGGTTTTAAACGTTTTCTATTTATAAAATACGTCTTATTATATGTTTATATATATTACCATATATACGTCAAATTTACACATATTTATCGATTGATAGTCATAAATTTATATTAGGGTAAATAAAAAATACTAAAGTCTTTTAAATGAAATATTTACAATAGATTTTTTCAAATTAGAATCTTTATTTATTTAAAATATTTATTTGAAAAAAATATATACTCCCTTCATTAGGAAAAATATCC